TATATATATATATATATGCATATACTCTGGAGAAATATGCTTCCATTTTTAATGAGCTGTTTCTTGATTGCTAATTGAACCCTACCCTAGCTTTCTGAGGGCTTTGGTTCACAAAGTCGATGCTTTGCAGTGGATTTAAGATTTGTGATTAATGAAGCTAATGTGGTGCTATGTTGGTGTAGATTCTTAGCCACCCAAGACATTGTGATCCAAAGGGTTTAAAATGAAAGGCAACTGGACTTCTCCTCTTTTCTTGAACGTTTTACCATAATCCAAAACACTACTTTTCTTCTAAACATGACTTAGAAGTGTCACGCTTATAAACTGTAGTGAAAACAGTCACACCCATAGGTTCATTAAGCTCACACGAATCACTTAATGATTCAAATATATCCCTTAATCATGCTAACATGTGAGTTCATCTGGTCTCATCTCAGAAGGCGTAAATGACTCAAGGCTGCACTGTAACATTGAAGAAGCTCCAAGCTAAGGCCACCTCTTTGTTTAGAGTTGGTTTTGGATGCTTAACTGCCCTCTCACACACCACTTGTCCTCCATGTCCAAAACATGCATATCGTTACCTTCAAAAAAGTTTCCCTCATCCCAGAGATGAAGATGAACCACGCAATTTAGGTGTCTCTTCTGTGTTGCGTAGCTGATGTTTTGTGTCCCTAATGTAGAGGTCACAACATTCATCGCTGCAGCAGACTGCATGTAGCACACTGTGCAGAGCTTGTGTTTTGGTGTTTTGTCCTTGAGTTGAACTAGTCTGTTTAAACCCTACAATAGTCTCAGGCAAAGACAGTCTCACCCCTGAAATAAAACATCCAAATAAAAGTTTGGTTCATGAAGCTATTTTAATACTAAATTTAGCCTCTATACCCAGATATGAAATATTGATTACGGTGTTATGAACCACATATGATACAAATGTCTGCATCATACACATTTCTTAAGGAATATTCTTGTAGGTAAATTGAATTTAGGAGAAGCACAGTGCAAATTAGGTCAGAAAACCGTCCTTTTTCTAAAATTATGAAAGCATACAATGCCAATTTAGAGTATTTCTAGACAACCACTCATACAAGCTGGATTCTCTTTAATTTGACAAATAGTTTTTTCCTCTCCTTTTCCCCAGCTTTCCCAACGTGCCAGCCACTCACCGAATTCAGCTGCTCAAATGGACGCTGCATCAGTGTCAAGTGGCACTGCGATTCAGGTGAGCGCAACTAATCAGCCAGTTTTCTCGTTAACAAGTATGCCCATTGAGTAGTCACCTCTGATATTCTTTGTGAATGTTGTCTTTGTCCGCAGATGATGACTGTGGCGATGGCAGTGATGAAGTGGGCTGCATGCAGACCTGCTCAAACACTCAGTTTCAGTGTACCAGTGGGCGCTGTATTCCAGCAGACTGGGCTTGTGATGGTGACAATGACTGTGGGGATTTCAGCGATGAGAACACAACCTGCAGAGGTGGACCTGCATGTAAGAATGTCTGTTTCTCTTTAAACTGGGTTGATTAGGTTTATTTATTTAAGTTTGACTGTGCAAAGAAAGCTATAGTTAGACCTTTTACCAATGGGAGTTGAACTATATAATCGAATTATTACATGGAGCTAATCCAACACTAGAATAAGGACCACAGCTCAGTTGCTTGTCACTAAAATGTGGAGATAATTCATCACACTACTCTGAAATAAACTGCTGCGCTCTCCATCCTCACTGCGTCTATTCAGTGGATTGAAAGAGATTAGGTTACATCTTTGTTGTTTGGACGGAGAAAATAAAAGCCAGGTTTTGGTTTTAGTGAAGCAAATGATTGATCGTGATTTCAACTTAATACCTAAACCACACAATAGATGTCTCAAATCATTATCTTCTTGGCATGTTGTGATTCAGAACTCTTTTATGTGAAAAACAGAAGTAAAAATATTAACATCCTGTGGGAACTTGTTGTCATGCTCGTATTATTAAACAGAACAATGATGCAAATGTCTTTTATATTTCAATAAATCCTCCATTGCTGACCTAGTAACCCACTACTAAACAAAGCAGCTAGCTCGAACAAACTTTGGAATTGAACTACTTCCCATAAACAGAAGGCTGCGACAATAAATAGATCTTTTGAAATGTTAAAAGAATATTTTCTAAATACAAAACAAAACAAAACAAAAAAAAACGAACAAACAAAAATAACAAGCCAAATACTGTTGTGCGATTCAGCGTTGTGATGCTGCTGAGTGGAACTGTGAAGCATTAATTGTTGGATTACTTTTGTTCCAGTGCTCCCACCTGTGATTGAATGCAGTGGGGATGAGTTCCATTGTGTTGAGGATGGAACCTGCATCCCTGAACGTTGGAGATGTGATGGAGACAAGGACTGTGAGGACGGAAGTGATGAGAAAGACTGCGAGGGCACCAAAAGGATGTGTGACCCGAAGGCCAAGTTCACCTGCAAAGATACAGGTTGTCAATGGAATCTCAGAAGTAAAAATTATCCAAAAAAAAATTAACTGCACTACAACAGCTGTATTTGCTGGGTAGTTATTGGTCAATTAATTAATCTTACGTTTTCAGATGTTACCAAATATTGTCCTTGTTCTTCATTTAAGTAATATTCATTAAGCAATGCATGGAAAAAGACAAAACAAACTGCATTTAATTTAAATTAATCCTGTTGAAAACAAAGCTTCAATTCAGAATTAATGTCCTCTTAAGGCCCTTCACAAGACAACAAGTCCAATCATTGCAAATCTTGGTCCAAATGGAATTCAAATCAATTCAATTTGTTCCTGTTCAAGGCAATCATTTAATCAAATTCATATTGTTTAACTACATTGAAAGATGAGTACATCACGCTCATTTTGGCATTTAATACTAAAAGCTAAAATGTTCAAGAATTATTTGCACGTATGAGGCGACAGTGGAGAGAAACCACTTCCTTGTAACATGAATTACTGTCTAGCAGTATAAGTATAAATGGCTGTCGGCAACCAGCTAAGTTGTAAGAAGTCATGTAGAAAAGAAGAAGCGGGTCAAAGCATTGGGTTAGGAATATTTTTTTATTTATGGGAAAGTAGAACAAGAACAGCAAATAAAATTAAGAAAGCATTGGTCACATTAATTCCTCTGTACAGGAAAGAGACACTCTTAGGCACAAAGATTGTAAGGCAAGACTGCATTCAGTGGGAAAGAATATCAGATAGTGTCAAAATTAATTAATGCCAATAACGCCCTCAATTACTTTCTCAAGAAAATAGACACTGCCAAACTCAGAAGCATTAGGCCAGAAGCAGTTTCTAAAAGGGAAGAATAAGAAAACTAAAATAGCAAATTAACTTGATAAGAAATACAGGCTGAGTTGGCACATAGATGCAATGTAAAAATTATTTATGGTTTCATCAAAAATTATTTCTGAATACATTTTCCACAAAGCTAATGAGACGTAAATGTCCAGGCTACAATCTATTAACATTATGAAGCACTTTGTAATTCATTCTTAGATTGAAAGGCTTGCAGATTTACCGTGTTCCTGTATAACACCATTTTTTTTTTTTTTTTTTTTTGCGTTTATCTACAAACTGTCAAACTATCACAATGAAAATGTAACAAGATATCAGCAAACTTAAGATCATTTTTTCTCCAGCCAGCTTCTCTCAAAGCAGGAAATCCAAGTATTTGTGACTGGCCAAGACAAAGCTAGGAACAAATCTTCCCGGGGGCGCTTTGAGTTATTTACAGATTCAGAAAGTGTGTGTTCTAAGCTTTGCAGTGATGTCAAACACATAAAAAAAAATATATATATATATATAAATGAAGGAGATATGCCCATTTAAATATCGGCATTCTGGAAACCAGATCAGTGAGGAAAAAACCCTCAAAGTTTCAGAAAAAAATTGTCCCCAAAACTGATCATCGACATGGGTGTGGTAACAAAGGCTGTTCATTTGGATTACTTTTCAATAACCCCACACCCCACTGGAAAGGTGTGCATACAAATGTGAGCTTTCACAATTTTATCAGAAATGTATGTTTTTTCTTATTTTTCTTTGTTTATTCTGTGGCAACTTGCTCCTACTTTTCCCCTGGCCCGTCCCATTTCTTCATTTGTTGTCAACATCACCTATTTTATATTAAACAAAAAAAATTATATACTTGTTTCCATAGTTTCTTTTTAATTTATTTTTATTTCTGTGTTACTAACTATTGTTCCCACAGTCAGGACATCTTTAATCTAGGCAGTTTTGAGTCCATCTATTCAAACTTGGTATGTTTTTTATATCAAGTATTTGCAGTAAGGCCAGAATTAACTCTGAATTTTGCCCTTCACCTTTTTGCTGTTTCTCCCCAGACAGCTTTTATCAAGAACAGAGGCTATGCTGCATGGTGACGGGTTGATTAGACCACACAATTATTAATTACTCTAATTCCACTGTGTCACACTTCTCTGCACTGGTGCTGTTGTCCTCTCCACAAGAGATGAGTGCTTTCACTGGCAATATGCAAAAACCTTCAAGTTCAATTTGGGTAAAACAGTGTGGAGTTTTACATGCAGCGCTTTGAAAAAGTATTTATCCCCCTGAATATATTTCTGGTTTATCCTTTTTTTTTTTTTTTTTTTTTTGTCACGGTTAAGTGTTTCGGATCACTGAACCAATTTTAAGCAAAAGATAACCTGAGCAAATCCAAAATGTAGTTTTGTAATTATGTTTTTTTATTATGGTGAAAAAGCTATCCAAATCCATCTGGCTGCTTGTAAAAAAGTAATTGGCCCCTAAAATTAACAACTGTTTGTACGACCCTAGACAGCAACAGTAACCAGCATTGGTGGTAACAATGTGTCTCTTGCAACGCTGTGGAGAATTTTTGACCAACTGTTCTTTGAAGAATTGTTTTGATTTAACTTCATTGCAGGAAGAATGAGAGAGTGATGGACGGTCATTCACACATCCTTTTTCAGGATTTTGTGGAGTTTTCACAGCCCCATTAATTTTGGCAAAATATCTTGTTGCCGCCGCAGCAACAAGACAATGTTTGATTGGTAGCATGACGTTTTTTGCCGTTAGTTTTTTGTCAGGTGTACTTTCTAAAACGTTCCATGTTTGTCTTGTTAGTCAACCAATTTTTTTCCAAAAAGTCTTAGTGATATTGTAGATTGAAATTTGGCAGATGTGACCAAAACAGATATTGGTTGGAATCTAGTTTTTCCCTGAGTAAATGAAAGCACACCCTTCTTTATGCAAATTATGCTTATTTGATATTAATCAGTTTGGTGATCTGAATCATTCTGTATGGAAGACAATGGGATGTGTAAAAACCCTCCTGGAAATGAAAATGTTAGATTTATAAATCCACATTGAAAAATAAAGTTTTTACCCGTTCTTAGAAAATAGAGTACCTTGAGTTGAGTTACAACAACATGTAAGGAATCATTACCTTTTAATTGTGTAAAAGAAACCAGTAATGAGCACTGATGGAAAGTCTTCTGCAAAAATGTTTTGATTTTGATTAACTAAAGATTAACTTCTGCAGACGTTTTTTCCGTGGTTGGAAAAATGAATGATGCTTTCTGGTGTCCAAACAACCCTTAGTATTGATGACAAACCAACTCACTTGGATCCATTCATTCACTCCTCCTTCCATTGTTTCATTCATACTTTAAAGATGGAAAGGTTTGATTGTTTATACAATCTCACATAAAATTAGACACTTGTAGCTAAAATTATTTAACTACACAATTGTTATCTGGCTATAATCCCACAAGTACAAAATGAAATGTTAAAAGTGAGATCACGCCTAAACGATAAACAATGACAACTTAAACTCAAAATCTGCATGGCCTCGGCATCCTTTTTTTTTTTTTTTTTTTAAACCTCTTAAGTATCTATAGTTAGAGAAAAGCTAAAACGTCAAGCAGTTTCTTGTCAGAAAATGGGCCAAGTTTAGAAAAGTAAGTTCAGCACAGAAATAAATGCCTGAACCCTAAAACAGGTTTAGGAAAACAAGTTGATGTTTACCTGAGACGCTTAAGTTTGAACTGCCTCTGTTAACCTCAGCCTCTCATACTTTACAGGCAAGTGCATCACAAAGAGTTGGGTATGTGATGGAGACATTGACTGTGAGGACCGATCCGATGAAGAGTCTTGCGAATCATCTGTTTGCAAGCCCCCAAAGTACCCTTGTGCCAACGAAAGCTCGGTTTGCCTGACGCCTGATAAGATCTGCAATGGCAAAGTCGACTGTGCTGACCGTTCGGATGAAGGACCCATCTGTGGTATTTTTTTATTTTTTTTTGTCTTATCGTTTTGCATCTTATCTTCACATCCCTTTAGGTGAAAAATTTCCTTAAATAGTTACTCTGCCGAAAGAATTGGGAATAGCAAACTTTACAGGTGATTACTGAAAATCTCTTTCCACCACCTTGATTATGTTGGCTGTTGTAACATCCATCACTGCCCCAGGAAGGCTCTCACCAAGGTTTTCAATGCCTGTTGTTAAATCACGCTCACAGGCTGCATTACAATTCATCCCAAAGGTGTCTGATGGGTTTAGCTCTGCTGGCAAGTCAACAGTAGCCAAGTAAAATAACCGATGCACCCTCACTGCTCTGTGCATTATCCTGAAAGCAAAACGACACATTTAAGTATCTGTTGACACGAAAGTAGAAAAAGTTTCTTTTTTCTGCTAAGTTGTGAACTTTTTATATTTTCAATTTTCTACAGAGCGTAAACATGAACAAAAGCATTCAGCCTTTTAAAAGCTGTAATACTTAGTCAACTTTTTCAAGTTGTCTCATTCTAAATAAAACTTTAATTTTATGTGATAGGCTAACAGACCATTTTTTTTGATTATCCTTCTTTGCAAAAATAGTTCAGTGTCAGTCAGATTGAGCAGAACCAGTTTATGAACATCAGCAGTCAAGTAGAGAAAGGTATTCCCATAATATGATTTTACCACCAACATTTTCCACCATAAGTAGTATGAATATGTTTAGCTTTTCCTCCACACATGGTGTTTTTGCACGCTGAAGAAAATACTACATCTTAAGGCATTCTAGCTACAATCCAACATCAGACATAATTCCTAAAAATACAAGCTTTGGTTTTAACTTGAAACAATGTGAAAATGTTTCACATTTGTGAATACTCTGCAAGCCACTGTAAAAAGACAACCTCCCAGGGTGAAAATAATATCTGCGCAATGTAACTTTAAAATTTAATTTGAACTGTTCCATTTTCCAGGTAGGCAATGTGTGACTTGAACAATATCTTATTTAAAATGTTTGTCTTGTTCTTTCTCAAACGATGTTCGGATTGCTGAAAGCGTCCCAGCACAGTCTTTTTATATTCCCCTTCTTCCACACACAGCAGCTTGGTGCTTGACAAGTTACCAGCATCTGTTGTTTCTGAGACCCAAGACACAACATAAAGAAAATCTTCCTTCCTGGTAATGGCAAATGTGCACTAAAAGCCTTCAGAGAGACCAAAAATATGCCCTCATGTGACTATCAGTAGCAATTTAATCTGTTAAAGTGAGTAGTGTAAACATCGAGGTTCATTTTCTAGAGCATTGCTAACCAATCCTCAGTGGGCTCCTGCAGGACCCTGAAGTGCTATTGTGGCTCAAAAAGTGGGCTGCTGGCTCATCTTAGGCTATTAGTTTATGCTCAGTGGAACCTCAAGGGTCTGCTTGATTTAGACCAGTTCAGCATGATTCAGACCTCGCAGTAACAATCATGACAAGAAATCTTTTTTTCTTGGTGATTAGAGAGGATAATCTTATTCCATCCTAAAATACGGTCTTAATTAAGGCGTATAAAGAGACCCCGGGTCAGTTTTTTCTCTATTTTATTTTTGGGAAAGTCAGAGACTTAGAGTATTGTGGAAAAGTATTTGACCCTTACATATTTCATCTATTTTATTTTCCATCACACTTAAATCATATTTTAATATCCAATAAATAGAATCTGAGTCAATACAGCTATATGTCATTTTCTTTTTTTTTTTTTTTAAAAAAAGCAGCTCTTATGTTACAAAGCAATTATTGCCTAAACGTTATAACTGGTTATGTTACCAAAACCCATCAAAACCTTGATATTAAGAGTTTATGAAAACCTGCATTTTTTATGTGTTAAGGAATATAAGCTAACTTTTAGCAAAATTTGAGCTTTTTGAGCTCAGATTTAAGTCCAAACATTGACAAGTACATTCCCAATCTTCTAGAATTCAGTTTTTATTCTGTCTGAGGCAGTTTACCCGAGAACTGCTTACCTGTCTCTTTTCTCCAGACATGTGTCTCGTAGCCAGAGGGGGCTGCAGTCACCAGTGCACGGTGGCACCGGGGAAAGGAGTTGTGTGTTCCTGTCCCCCTGGACTTCACCTGGATTCAAGCAACAAGACATGCGAGGCAGTGGACTACTGCAGCCGTCACCTGAAGTGCAGTCAGGTGTGTGAGCAGTACAAGACCACGGTGAAGTGCTCCTGTTATTCTGGATGGATACTCGATGCAGATGGAGACAGCTGTCACAGCACAGGTAACAGAGGCTTGCTTTTTAATGTTTGTTTCATGATGCCCCTGGCTGTTTTGTTGCTATGCGGTTGCTGCTTTGTGTTTGTTTCTGTTGTAAAATTGAGTTTTATGTTAGGGCGTCTCTATGAGCTTTAATTCTGTAGGTTTTCTTTGTAAGTGCAGATATTAGCTTTGTGAAAATCTTAACAGTTGTGTTTGATTTCCTATCTTTATTTTTTTGTCATGCTGTCACCTGTCACATCTTAGCCGAATCAGATTTCTCTCAAAAATGTTTTTTTTTTTTTTCTCGCTTTCCTACCTTGAGTGGTCATTAATTATTTACATTTGGAGTGCAGGCGACCTAGCATGTGTGTGACAGAGCAATCACTGTACAACTGGGTTTTACTATTGCTTTAAAAAAACCCAAAAAAAAAACAAAGTTACATGTTGCACTTCGATGTATACATAGGCTTTGACATATTTAAAAACACCAAGTAGTAAGTTTCACTTCAGTCACAAGTAATGAAATAAATTAAAAGATTGAGACCACAACATAATTAGATAGTTTTAAGACAATTTCCAACAGATGGACTCACAGTTGGAAGGCTTGAGTAAAATGTACTGTATAATAAACACGCACCTAATATGGAAGTAATATTTCTCGCCTTGCCCTTCTGTTCTTTGAGTGACGCTGCAAGCTAATATTAGGTGGTTAATTAGCATCACCTTTAGCTTGGTTAGCTAGCCTGCAGTACTTCACGCATATTCTGCTCCATTCTTTCAGCTTGCCAACTGTACTTTCAATAAAGGTTTGCCCCAACAACAGCAGGCAACGCTTACTTAATTTAGACAAATAGATAATTTCCAGATTACTAGCTTCCTTTTAAGCTGGTAGTGCCACTACGGGGCGACTCTGCTCCATTCCTACATTTTTGTGATTCTGCTGACTTCATTTTTTTAACAACTCAGTTGAAAAGATTGTGCTGAGTTTCCAACAGCCAGGTCAACTACTGAACTGAAACTGGTCAACATCTGATCCTGTTTCTTATAAAAAATGAAACTTATTAATGCACTCGGTTTTTCAAAACAATTCAAGTCAAACTGCAGAACAGACACATTTTTTGTTTGGCCATGTGAGTGCTGAAAAGGTGGAGAGGTGACTGTGAGCGCAGAAATGAATGCTGATTTAGAATGGGTTGAACTAAATTATTTCAGAATTTAAAGATGCACCACAGTGATGATGAGTCCTACCATTGTTATATGCATTGATGCTTACTGAGGGAAACATGTCTTCCTAAACTATAAAGCTTGATGGTTTACTTGGCTATTAAGATATTTATCCCCAAAACAGATGAGTTATCAAAAATTTTTGTTTCACATTTTTTGCCTTACATCAAAAATTTCGAGTCTGCTCCACTGATTGCTGCTACTGGATAATCCATTTGATGAGACTGCTAGAAAGCTCTTGAAATACAATTGGGACGCAGATGCTGTTGGCTTGTCACATTCTGATTTATGGACCCCATTTTGATGACTTGCTTCTGTCTTGCACTCCGGGATGGATAGCAGTTGCAGCTCTAATCATACATTAACACCCGGAAATAATACACCATCTTTTAGTTTGAAGCTGATTGGGACTCTACTTGTTAATCAAACATCAGTCTTTGCATGCAAACTAATATCACAATTTCACGTTGGAGAAGGTGTTATTAGATTCATTGTGAAGTCCCAGGCACACATGTTCTTTCTCTGCTTTTCACATCTCAGTGATAAAAGATGTGTTTGTACAAATCTTTTCACTGAAAGCATTGTCGCTGGTTTGCTAACAAGTGACTAAAGTAAGGACATTGCTTTCATTATATTTGTGTGCAAACAGCTCTGCTGCCTTAAAAGTGTTTTGAACATGAGGCTTACAAAAAAGTTGCTTTGAAAATATATGTTTTTATAAGTAGTTGCGTTTTAGATGGGTGTCATATATTGAATTTAGGTAGAGCAAACATTTCCAAGAAAAGGAGCTACACTGAAGGTAGAAGTAATCTTCCTGATTGAAACAAACCACTGCAGGCAGAGTCATGGAGGCCTAATATGTTTATCATCAACCTGCAGTAAGATTTAGCAACTTTTTTGAGCCCCTGCAAAACACATTCCTCAAAAGACTGCATGTACAACTGTATCTATCTACTTCTTTTGGAAATTATTTTCATATGTTTGGCAACAAATTGGTTTGGCTGAAATTGCTGAATATTAATGCGCACCACATGGCGGTTTAAACTGCTGAAATATGTTTGAAATCATTTTTACTACGCAAGCCATCAGACTGGGAATAAATAGTATTAAAAAATATGTTTGCATAAAGAAATAAAAAAAGCAACTTCTGCTTTTAAATTAGAACATTCCTATAAAAAATCAGATGGATACTGATTTAGTTACAAATTGCTTTCTTACACAGGAGAATATGATAAATAGAATTAATCATCAGAGATAAATTTAGCCTTTTTACTACTTTATTAATGTTCCCCAATAACAATGTAAAATCACATTGTTAATTTTAACAGAGCTGGTCCAGAGCTGATGTCTTAAACGTAACTAGATTTTTGGGGTTTTCCAGCTGCCCTCAAACAACACAACTTAGTCACAGGTGGAAATATTTGTTTCTTTAAAAAAGAAAAGTGTGGACTTATTAGAAAGTATGTTCAATACCTGTTTAAAGATTGCTATTTTCAACAGGTACTTTTTAAACAGCAAAACGATACTCATCCAGTTGTCTATTCTAATTCTTTAACACAAGTCAAAGATGTGATAAACAGCACACACCGATCAATCCGTCAACATGGCTCGTTTGGAGGCAGTGACAAAAACTTTGAGATCATCCTTAAGTTCTTCCTAACAAAAAGTTTTGTTCTTGTTGTTGTTTTTTTTACCAACTGCATTACACCAGGAATGTCACTCAACAACTCAGTTTTTCTTCTTCTAGTATTGTTATTTGCACCAGTCTGGCAGCGGTTCAGGTGCATTTCTGGTAGAAATTGCCTGTTTAAATTGCAAACTGGCCAATGTTTTGTAATTACTTGCATTTGGCCTGTGGCAGCTAGGACTGTAAATCCTCCAACAAAGCAATACACCTTTAAAATGATCTACAGTTGAACATCTAAGCCTTACACATACATACATTTATATATGTATATTGCATAAAATGAACATTCCTTTTTTTTTTTGTATTTTGATTCCATCTTTTTTGTAAATGTCTTATTCCAAGGTAATTTTAGTACAAGTTCGCACTGCATTTATATAGTTGGACCCATCAAAACCTGAATTCCTATCTGCATAAAAAGGAGTGTACTTGTTTATTGCAACATGATGGATTCCAGAGAAGACAAGCACAATTTGTTATCTAGTCCGAAAATCTCTGTGTTCGCCACCTGATGTTCTGTATCGTGTCTTTGGAAAAAGAAAAAAAAAGAAAAAATAAGAAAAATTGTTGCGGTTGTTTTTTGTGTGTCTCTCTGCGACTAGATCCTTTTGAAGCTTTCATCATTTTCTCAATCCGACATGAGATAAGACGAATAGACCTTCACAAGCGAGACTACAGTCTGCTGGTGCCAGGACTGAGGAACACAATTGCTTTGGACTTCCATTTTAACCGTAGCCTGCTGTACTGGACAGACGTGGTGGAAGATAAGATCTACAGAGGAAGGCTCTCGGAGACGGGTGGTATGCACTGGGGCACACACAAGGGCGTCGATGTACATGAAAACTTGTTATGTACTTGAAAGAGGCTGTGCTTTTATGTCTAAACTTTAAAAATCCATGTTTTATGATTTTTTTTTTCTCTAGAATTGTCGCAACATAGTTTCAAAACGCTAACAGAGATACATATATATTCTTACGTCTTTACAGATAACAATGAAAAATGTTTTGCACATTTACAGAATTTAGTTTTTATGACACTTAAGAAGTTTTAAAATTAAGTTTTCTTTTATCAAAGGGGCGTTTTATTTCCAGACTATAAAGCAGTTCTAATCTGTACTTGAATTTCTTTGGAAAGGCACATTATGTATTGCATTTAGATCATTTTAGTCTACTTCATGCTGTCAAACAGGCTATGTTTATGTAATTTCTTGATTCTGCAGTTCTAACAGTATGCAGCTCATGAAATTCAGCTCTGTTTTTGTGGTTAGTCACATTTAAATTATGATGTACAAAGTGAGCATTTCGATTTTGGGTAGTATGCCCTTCCTTTAAGCATTGCTCTTTGTATTTATTCAGGTTATTGTTATGTGATAGTAAAATGTACTTAATGAATTCAAGCTCTTTGGTGTGACAAAAAAACATAAAACCTTTTTTAAAGGAGGCAGTACATTTTCACAGTTCTGCACTTCACTCCCATGAAGTTCATATCATTTTTATCCTCATGATCAAGCTGAAAAATATTGAGCCAAAAGACCCGTATTGTGGTATTTTATCTGTCCTTGAAATAGAATCAGAACGTACTCTTTGTATTTTTGTGAATGGTAGTTTTTCTCCGTCTGTGGAGCTGCAGAACTGACCTCTCAGCTTGGTCTATTCTACTCTTTTAAGAAACCTTCATAAAACACCAGACAGGTTTCCCCCCATTGTCAAATGGCTACATCCAACCTCCCAACACTCTTTTATCTGATGGATAGCATTCCCCTGCATCCCATCTTCTATGAATTCATTCAAAGTCACTGCAGTACAGTCACGTTATTGTCTTGTCAATATTGTTTTAGGAGTGGCAGGTATTGAGGTGGTTGTTCAGCATGGGTTAGCCACCCCAGAGGGCCTGGCTGTGGACTGGATTACAGGGAAACTCTATTGGATTGACAGCAATTTGGACCAGATCGAGGTAGCCAAGCTTAACGGAGAAATGCGGACCACTCTGATCGCGGGAGGCATGGAGCATCCACGAGCCATCGCTCTCGACCCAGGACAGGGGTATGTTTTTTCCCACTGCTGCTAGCACCAGAAATAATTCAGCACATGAGAACTTCAATGTATGTTGCTTCTTACGTAAGATTTGGAGTCAAGGTCTTATAGAATACATTAAACATAATGCATTGGTTCTTTTTTCTAAACATCAAAATTGCATGGAGCAAATACTCCAATACCATTTCAACCCTTTCAGATAATCTACTACTCATTTGCTCTTGTTCCATAAAAGTTCTGTTGTTCGACACTACAGCTATTATGGATAAAAAGCAAAGGCAATACCTTGTCCTTTTTTGAATTGGTCCCCTATTGGTACAATTCCTAAAATTCAGCCCTCATTTCCCCTGCAGAGTAGGACAAGGAGCTTGTTTATAAAGCCATCTGTGTCTGACAGCAAACGTTTTATTCTCCCTGCTGTCAGCAAAAAGAGGACGGACTACACCAAATATTGCTTAGCCAGAAACAGTTAGTAAGACTAGAGTTCCAGCTTGAAAAAAAGACCTATTGGAATGAGGCACAGTGATGTGAATTGTATAGTGGTCTAACTTTTTTTCTTATTAGCATCGTCTTAAAACAAATTTGAAAGTACATTTTCTTGTACTTAGATATATCCATATCATATTTCATCAGCTTCCCTGTCCCGGTACTTCTTCAAAGTACGGTTTGACACAGCAGGGCTGATGCTCAACCTGTCCTGGACTGAGTGACTGTCAACCTAAAAAACCTCGCTGTGGTGTTTTTTTGTGGCACCTTTGCAATATTGTTAGAATCTATTCTGCAGGTTGTCCAGCAGCAGCCACAGATTTGAAAGGAATGTGTTGTACAAGATATTAGGTCTGTCTTTCCTTCCTTGGTTTTCTTCTTTATGTAAGAGAAAGATTTTAAAGATTTAGGGATGTGTAAGTAGGGCAAGGAAAATGATGGTGTTCGCTGCTGCTGTAACCTGATGTCACCTCCTTGCAGCTAGTCCTCTGCCTTGGATACATAACATCACTGTTATCAGTGGACTGTGGCTCCCTGAGCTGGGTATTGGACCTGGGAGAGAGGGTTGAATACCAGTGTATAACCTTCCATTAAAGTATAATGTTCAGTTTTTATGCTCTGTATAGACTGTGGTCAAAACAAAACAAAGAAAAATGTTGCTTCAATTCTTAATTTTGCACATTGCCTGCCTGGTTTATTTATAATAGTGCTTAGAGTTGGACCTTAATAATCATGACTAATTTTGTCTAGACCTGTTGCAGGATGTATAGATTTTTGTTTGTTTTACAGATTCAATGTTACTATGAATTTGCCTCAATGTCTTGAGATATAAATTGTATAATTTTTATTTATTTATTTTTTTGGCCCTTCCCTTAGCTTGGATAAGTCTGAGTTCTTGTGTTTCCCTTCAGAAAGGTTTTGATTTGCTTCCTTTAACCATTACCACACCTGGTATATTGATAATAATATCCACCTTTTGTCTCTTAGAAACCTTCAGATGTAAGGTGTTTAAAATGGGACCTATTTCATAAAATACACACAAAAATAATTCAATGAATGTCTTGCTGATTAGATTTTTGTGTTTTTATAGCTAGCTATTACATACCTTCTTTAATGTGCGACTTTTAAATGTGAGTGTTTGAAGAGTTTTAGTTCACTATTAAACACATATTTCCCATTGATTTAGCAATTACAGCCTGATTGAATTCTATTCTATTCTCAGCAAGATGTGAAAGATAAGAACTTCAAAGAACCTTTTCAAAATATGAGATTTTGGGAACTTTTATAAAAAAACTATTTTTCTCTGCTGTTGAAATGTTGCAACAATGTTTCATTAGATACTGCATCTACATTATCTTAATTTCGTCTGAAAGCCAGTGGTTGGAGCCGTTGGCAAAACCCAGACATCCCAAAAAATCAATTTAACACTTTTAAGGAATGAGTTATATGCTCACACACTCTTCCTTTTGTACTTGTTCACATTTGAAAGGATGACTAGACTACATTTCATGACTGTAGAGAGTAGGATTAATGGGTACTTTTGGTACCTAAAGGCGCATTTCCATTACGGGGCAATAATTCTAATCGTATTACTTGAATCCACTCAAAGGAGTGGGTGATTGATCACTGAGGTCTTATCAAGTGAATAAGCCTATTGATCTGTACAGATATATTTCTTCCCAACACGGTTTTGTTGTCGCCAGTATGTGATTTAAATTTGAACACCCATTTTCTTGTTAATTTTGGATGACTTAGTTGACAGTGAATGGACAGTTCTCTGATAGGAAGAGGCTGCACACTGTTAGTGATACATGGGGCCTTGGTTTTCTTTTGAAGTTCCTTAGCCAGCTTTAAAAGTGAATGAGTCCAGAATGGGTTTAAGATGCATGTTGCATGAGATCTGGCAACCCTACTAGCACTACTGTAAGTAATAAACATCTTTGTGAAAAGCCATGTGATCATTAGACTCTACTCGAGACAAAATAACTGCGGGTGGCTAAAGTTGAGACATATAAAGTGTACCAATGTAATAAATGAACAAGTATAATAAACAGAAAACCTGCTATGCTGTCAAAACATAAATGCTTTATTGGGTTGTGATTTTTGTGACCCTGTGGCTTTCTGTGGATGCAGCTGACAAAATCTCAAACTGTAGACCATCGGAGATCATGAAATGGTATTAGTAGTTAAGCTTAATCAAGGAGTCCAAGAGAAATGATTTTATAAAGCTGTGATCAGAACACCCCTGTTAGGAAAATATTGTTTTAAAAAAACTCAACCTGCTTACTTGTCATAGATGGTTAAGAATTTCACTGGAACACTGCGATTCTTGGGCAGTCATCAGGACTGCTGTTTGTGTTACATAACACAGATGCAATAACATATCCATAATTACTGTTTTCTATCCTTTGACGAGCATGATGATGAGAAACTCTAATTGTATTCAGTACCTCCATGCTTTCCATCTTCAGCAGCCGCAAAGAAGAATAGACGCTAACAGCCCCCATCTTGTTTCTGTTTTAAGAATTCTCTTCTGGACTGACTGGGATGCAACATTTCCAAGAATTGAGGCTGCTTCCATGAGTGGGAGCGGGAGACACATTGTGTTTAAGGATATGGAGATTGGAGCCTGGCCTAATGGACTAACACTGGATCATTTAGAAAAAAGGATTGTTTGGACAGATGCACGGTTAGTAATTTCAAATTGTGTGCAAAAATCTTAACCATTTAATTCATATATGCCATTAAATACCGCAAAAGTTTCACCAAAGGAAATTTTATCATCTTATTCTCCTAGTGGGCATTAAATTATGCAAGACATGCAATATTTATAGACTTTAAAAAAAATGCCACTCTGTGGCTATTGAACATTTTACCAGTTCCATCAGTGGATTGGAAGGTTTCACTTTGATCTCCCTCCATCTTGTACTTTAAGGACTTTAAAGCAGAAGTTTAAACTTTGATATGGTGTTGGTTTTTCTTTAACAGCTCCGATGCCATTTTCTCTGCACTCTACGATGGCACTGGGGTCATAGAAATCCTCAGGGGCCATGAATACCTGTCCCATCCCTTTGCTGTGTCTCTCTTTGGTGGAAATGTCTACTGGACAGACTGGAGAACAAACACATTAGCCAGAGCCAATAAGTGGACAGGTCAAAACGTCACTGTCATCCAGAAGACAAGTGCTCAACCTTTCGACTTGCAGATCTTCCATCCCAGCCGGCAACCACGAGGTGAGAACTGTGTGGAGTCACTTGATATTGATGTAGGACACGCTGTCTTTTAAAGTGAAAGTCAGTCTCATGCAGGGCTCATAACGCAATTACAAAATAAAGCCATATGTAATTAGTTTTAGCTTCTGCCTCTGCCTTCATTTGACCCGTCAGTCAACCAGCAGGTGCCTGACTGAAAAATAGTACTCATGCAGAGAATAAGCCACTTTAGCTTAATGCTACCTTTGAATCTGTTTGTCTTTACTTCCAAATTATTGTAATTGACTCATACAAATACAATATTTTTTGCTTTCTTTTATGAGCTGAATCTGAGTAAAGAGAGCTGGTTAAAATAAAAATAAATATGTGCTAAACCTGTTTTAGCCAAGACATTCAATATAATGAGCATAATTAGTTCATTTCAAACACTACCTTGTAGGTATGTTGACTGTTCTGATCAACATATTGCTCTCGTACAGTCAAAAACTGTTTGCCCAGCAATTTTATGACTTGACAGCTTACCTGGTGTTGTGTTTAATAACACCAGGTATAAGAAGTAGGCTAATGCATGATTCAAACTTTAAAAAGTTGCTGTGTAGCATAATCAGAAGATAAACAGATACCAATAAACCTTCTAAAAGTGAAAGACTTTGTAGCTTCAATAAATTATGACGATCACTACATATCTGGGTTAAGTCAGTCAGCAATGATTCAATTGGATTTTGTGCCATTGGGTATTTTCAATTGGCAGTGGAGTGTAGAATGACTTGAAACTAGAACATGTCTACTGAAATGCACTGAAATGTAGCGGTATTGCTCATGCTAGCAGTCTTTGATCATCTCCAGTTCGCATTTGAGATGATCAAAGCAATGCATTATCCTCTTCTTTATATGCTGTATTTGTGAAGTCGGTCTTAAAACACTCATCGTCATATCCAGGATTGGCAGGACTTTACATCTTTTAACTAGCTTTTCAATAACTAAAGTACTTCACAACGACAAGAGATATTATGGCATTGTATTGTTAAACAATAAAAAGCTAAGATTTATTTTTTTTTCAACAATGAATGGTCCATAACGTTTGTAAATTCAACAGCATCTAAGTCTGAGAGCCACAATGCTGTGTGCTTTTTTTCCTGCTTGTAAAACAATATTAGAATCATAACAGTTACCATCCTTGCTTTTTTTAAATCTAACTTATGTTCGTCCATGTTGAAAATTCCTTTTGACCACCTCAAAAACTGTAATTATCCCAGAAAATCCCCTTGCTCCTTTTCACTTTATGCTGACTTTTCTCTATTCTCCTTCCTTCCCCATCAGCCTCTAACCCTTGCGAAGAGAATGATGGACGTGGTCCCTGTTCACATCTGTGTCTCATCAATTACAACCGCACCGCGTCATGCACCTGTCCACACCTCATGAAGCTTTCAGCCAACAAACAATCCTGCTTTGGTGAGCAAGAACACCCTTCCTCATTTTTCACGCTTTCAGCATGTGTTGTCCAAGTAAAAATGTAAGTTGCTGCCTTTTACACTTTAATTCTTTCTTTTGACAACTTTTACATTTGGCTGTTAGTGGATCTTCACCTGCGTTTCACAACAGAAATCCTCAAAAGACTCTCAAATGGTTGTTTTATTATCTCGCCAGCGCTGAAAAGGTTTCTTCTGTATGTGCGACGCTCTGAAATCCGTGGTGTTGACATTGATAACCCCTACATGAACGTTATGACGGCGCTGACGGTGCCAGACATTGACGATGTCACAGTAGTGGACTTTGATGCTCAGGAGGAGAGGATCTACTGGGCTGACATCAAAAGTCAAACCATCAAACGGGTGTTCATCAACGGCACCCAGCTGGAGACCATCATTTCTTCAGGTGGGGCAGGCAGTCTTCCAGGGAGTCTTCTAAAATCTCTCTGTGGAAATTCTGAATGAAGAACCAAATGAGAAAGTAATACTCCATACATGCTTTTTTTTTTAAACCAGATGTGAGATTTATTTATTTATAGTAATCAATGTAATTGCAGATGTAACTTGCAAAAACGTATGATGCAACAAATATTTGTATGCAATCTAAGATCGTCTGCGTCTGTGTGTCTAGTCTAGTCAAGAAATAATTTGACTATGTACAACACAGCATAATTGTTTCTCATGCTCTTCTTTTGTCAGACATAGCAAACTGTCGGGGTCTGGCTTTAGACTGGCTTTCTAAGAACTTGTACTGGGTCAGCTCGGAAAATGACGAGTCACAAATCAATGTGGCCCGCTTTGATGGGTCCCTGAAGACGTCCATCATCCACGGCATTGACAAGCCAAGGTGCCTCGTAGTGCACCCTGCCAAAGGGTAAGTAGATTAGAGTAGTGTGTGCATCTCATGGGTGCATCACCATCACTGTATAGTGTCACAAAGAGTTGACTTGTACAAAAGGAAGAGAAGAAGATCAAAGCTCTTTTGGAAAAAAAAAAAACACCTTCTACATATCCCTCCACACTTATTGGCACTCCTGGTGATGGTGTGTAAAATGGCCTTTTCTAAATTCATCTTTTACTGCCACAGCAGAATCTCAGACTGAAGAATTTGGAAAAATCTAAACTTAATTAAAATTGCGTCTATTTGTTTAGTGAAGACAAATTAAAAAAAAAAATCTGTTCAGTACTCTCCACATGTTTTCTACTGGGATGTAGATTGTTGATCTTAACTTACAATAAAAAATTGCTAATTTTATTTCTGTAGAACAATTTTTATTCATTTGGACTATGATTTTGGATATTTATTCTGCTAAAAGACCCAATCAGAATCAATTTTCCATTTTTTGTTTCTGTTCTCATCCCATGAGAAGAGAAATAGATCCACAGCATAACAGATTGTGCGCCATGCTTAGCAGCTCTTTTTCTTTTTTTTTTTTTTTAATTTTGATGTTGTCTAGCAACACCGTATTGTTCCAGTTAAAGTTTGACACTCCAATTAATTAACAAATGTCAAGTATACATTTTAAAAAATTATTCCGTTACATATTGTAATCTTGTTAAATAGAAATTGCATTTTTTTTTACCTGAAACAAAGTCATTAAAGGTTCGATTTTTCTACATTTTTCAACGTACTGCTCTGTCTTTTTGCTGTTCAAAGCTAGGCTATCCAGACATTATTACATACATTTTTAAAATATCTGTGCAGATAAATATGTAAAATAATAATAGAAAAAGAAAATAGGATTTTTAAGATGATGTGTTTTTGTAAGCTTCATGTTGTTTAGTACCTAACCGAATTACTACCAGTCACCTTTCTTCTGTCATGCAGGAAAATCTACTGGACAGATGGCAACACCATTAACATGGCCAACATGGATGGGAGTAACAGCAAAGTCCTCCACCAGAATCAAAAGGATCCTGTAGGTCAGTGGAAGCTTATACGGTTAATTAACCAAAACTGTTTATTTACTTGTAGCTCACTTAGCATGAATATAGTTGACCAAATTAGGGCTAATGGACATCGATGTGGTCGAACAGTTTTCCAAGGATCACTAATGCATTTGTGTTTTATATTGTGACATGTTTGATAGGATGTAAGACAGTGACGTGATAATCCTCTGCAAACATATTAGTTCTACAAAAAATATCACACAATAAATTAATAAATTGATTGAGTCTTGTTAGAATGTAATTACATAAATCAACATTTTACTGATAAATGCAGCAGACAGAATTTCAGAAGTTTAAAAAAACGTGGTTTGTAAGTTTTATCTTTGTTTACTTTTATTTAGCCTCTGGGTTTGTTTATTGATAGTGTCCATGGATGTTTCTTCGATTGTTAATTAAACTTTTCAGAGCATCCAAATCCTCCCTTTACTGTCACATATTTCAAAGTGCTGACATTATTTAGACCACTGTGGTCCTTGAAATGTTTGAAAAGCTGTTATAACACAGATCATCGCAAAATAACAAAATCTGCCATGCTTCTTTTGAAATATTGTGCAAACAGAGACAGCCAATGAGTTGAGCTGAATGCGGCCGACTTAATAACACACATGCAGAGACACTCATGCACATGAACTGCTGCAGACTGCAGAGAAGGGACTTTCTGTGCAACAGCAATTAAGAAGAAAATAAATTACTAAAAATGTTAAGAAGATGAAAAAGATAAAACCATAAAAAATGATGTGTCCTCGAAGAACATCAATGTCAGTAGATTATTATAATCAACATCATTAGTTTTTCTAAAGGAATTATGGCAGCCCTAATGTGTTTTGTTGTCAGCTGAATAGATCAGAGGATTTAAGTGTTTTGTAAATTAATATTTATTTAATGAGAGATTATTTTGAATATTACCACAACATTTGGAAAGTGCTTTGTAAGCCATTAGGTTGATCTCTGTTGAAGGTGTAATATCATCCAGATTATTATTTTAATTCTGTAATAGGTCAGAGCCAGAAAGAGTGGAAATTGAATGTGATACACTCCCAGCATCTTTAAATTATATGGAAATGTATGCTAAGCAGCTATTGTAAGATATTAGTTCTCATCGTAATGGGAAATAATTTGTACAATTTCGTTTAGCGTTAATTTAGATGTTGCAGTGAACTTCTAACTGGTACAACAGTGTCTTGTGGCAACATGTTGTGAAGCCACAGAGATGATGTTTAATAAAAGTCCAGTGATTTTTCATTGCTACTTCATTTTTATCCATTTCAGCTTGTTTATGAGAGCTTTGCTCTCTACGGCTGTTATTAGAAGCAAGCAAATTCTTTGACTGTAAACGTCACTTAATCCATGGTTAAATGGGCAAATGCAAAAACAATCAGCTGGTCTTCATCTGTAGAAGTTGCTGTTACATATAGCTCAAGGTCAAACTTTTCATTTGTCACACAGAACAGCTTTGTCTCTGCTGCAATTCTTCATTCTCCCAGGCCTGTCAGCCATGGAGATACCAGCATGCTCTGTATTTCACTGGTTTCATTTATGATTATGGGGTAGACCTGGGGACAAGAGTAAATTAATGATGCATTGTGACTGTGAATCTGCCAGACATAAATCCAACACATGGTGCGAGACAGTGAGATGTCCGGAGGTACACAATTGAAATTGCTTTCAGCTCCAAACATTAACAGGGATACTGTTTGGAGGGGAAAAAAAAAACCCATCAGCTGGCCAGGAAATGGATTGAAAAGCAGTCAGTTCTCATTCTTGTTCATTTTTCATGCCAGCTGGAGCTCTTTTTGAACGATCCCCCACGTAGACGTGTGAGGAGAGACAAACATTTTTATTAGTCATACTCTAACCAGGTGCATAGGAACAACAGAATGTAAAATAATAAAAAAAATATATGTTGATAATTCAGCTGTGGCTGCTGCCACTGTAGAGCTGTTCTACTTTTTTCTTGTGTACATTTTCCAATAACAACATAGCATTTTGCAAAAGCATACATAACCATTGGACATTATTACCATTTTGTCACCTACAAAGTGGTAAAAGTGCAGCCTTTAAAGTGCATTTAGATTTTACATGATAAAAATTAACACTTAATTGTGAAGAAGAAGGGAAATGGTACAAGATTTCCAATCTGTTTTACTCATAAAAATCTGCTTGAAATGCTGTGTGTTTGTATTCAGTCCCACTTTAATTTGATACAGTTAAATAAATGCTAGTGGAACCAACTTCCTTTGAAAGTTGCTTATATCTATCTGCTTTGTGATGTCCATTCCTACATCTCGGCAATTTGTAGTGCACTGATTGAAAACTTGGTTTGCTCTCTCCACCTATACTTCTCCCAGGTCTCTCAATAGACTTCACTGCCAACAAGCTCTACTGGATAAGCTCGGCCAATGGCACAATCAACAGGTGCAATCTGGACGGCGGAGGGCTGGAAGTGCTGGAGACTCTAAAGAGGGTGCTAGCCAAAGGCACAGCTCTGGCCGTAATGGGTGAGTGAGTCTCGCCACAAGTCTATCAGATTGCCACAGAGGATTATTCAAAAGGTATGAACCGATTAAATGTTTAACCAGATAAGTGGGTAGACTAGAGTCACTTAGGGAGTCCTAGCAACAATTGTGCTTCACTTTGTGCAAACTCGCCCGAGCGCTAGATAATTAAAACGTATCACAGCAGTGATTGATGATAGATTTTCTCTCTCCTTTTATAATGAAAAGGTGGGGGGTGTTAATTACATGTTGATTCTTACTATCACTGCTAAATCCAATGTGTCACACCATCCATCAATTGATGGATATATTAGAAGCAGCTTAAGTGTACCAGTCCTAAATGATGATGTCTTTCATGTTGTTGTACAATGTTTCTTCCTGACATTGTCTATTTAGTCCAACATCAAATGTCTCTGGGCAACAGTAATGTTAAAATTTACATTTTCACTGATAAATGATTAAAGCTAAATTCAGTCCAAACATTCATGAAAAAAAATGTGACTGAGATTGACAGGAGCCCCCATAAACAGAAGATAGACAATAGTTAAGATGCTTAAAGACTTTTCTATTTAAGCAAGCCTATTCTGCCTCCACATGATTTTTATGATGTTGATTTTATCTATGATTTTAGTTGCACTGTGTAGCACTTTGAGATTTTTGCTAATGAGAAGTGCAGTACAAATTAAATTGATTATTATTATTATTATTAATTAAAATTAACAAGATCTTTTTCTCAGATACTCTTTTCTCAGAAACGATGGTGTGTCATATCTTCCAGAATAATGTTGGACTTTTTCATTCTAATAAACATTTAGTTAACATACATGATTAAAAATAGGGTTAAAGATTAATTTATGTGACATATACACAATATGAAAAATTTCAAGTCTTGAGGAATTTGTATGGTAACTAGAATTATCACTGTATTTTTGCAGTTTTATTCATGATTATTCATACCCATAGTAGACTTAAATTTAGTTTCATTCAACCAAAAATGTTCTTTTTCTTTCTTGCAGCAAATTAGACAGTTCTCTCTCAAAAAATAATAAATGAAATGTAAAATGACCATCAATTTTGACAAAAAACGTTTTTTTTACTATTTTGCTAATAATAGGTTGATAAAATATGTTTTTACCTCTTCCACCAATCTATGAAAAGAATTGTCTTTAATATAGTGTCATTCAAACATTTCTAGAATCATTTTCCATTATTTTACATGTTTCCATAGGTGTTTTTGATTGTAAAAAGGTCTCCTTGCCATTACTTTAATTTGCAGGCTCATACATTCTGATCAAAGTGGGGACTCTGGCTGGGCCACTCCAAAACATGAAAAGTACTTCAGTTCATAAACAAAGCAAGTTTGTATGTTAAAAAAATTAAAAAAATGATGTAAATATCAATCCGACATGGATTTGAATCTTTAACTGTGCTTTAGATTTTATTAAAGGGTTCATAGCCTCTCCTTTACGTCAGGATCTTTATGTATTTATATTTTTGTCATAGCAGTAAATGTTCTGATGTAAACTATTCGAAGCGAGCATAGTGGTAATTGACCATTTGAAAGTGTTTAATTCTCATGTATTAATACAGCATTTCAGCAGATTATTTCGAGATGATCGCCGTCCCTTTGAGATCATAGTTCCGTAATAAATGTGCAACCATAAACCATAATAATGGATCAGTTTGTCCTTTCACATCATGCTTATCGATCTGACAAAATCTGAGCCATGTGTGTTTTTGAAATTTTGCCACTGGGATTAAGGAACCAAGGGTGTTTGCTTACAACTCATAGGATTCATCTCAGCAATATGCACGACATTTGTGACAGACTTCATGTGATTTCCCTGTCTGAGGGGAAATCCCCACAGGGCCAAGCTCTGTGTTCTGATCCTAATGCAGCCTCTATAGATGCATTGAGGGCTTTAAATACAAGTACAATGCCGTTGCACCGTGATCAGCATTTATGATCTGCATCAGATTCGGTTGATCAGCATGTTTCTCAGATCAAATCCCACTCTGCAGTTTTGAAGAAGTCAAAGTGGTGAGGTAATAGATAAGGTTTGATGAATTTAAAGAGTCAGACATATTGTGTTTGAAGTCTGTTACAATACAGAAAAACAATTATTCATAGAGAAAAATAAATAATTAACTTAAGTATTTAAAGTTTTGGTAATATTATTTATGGCGGTTATCATTTTAATTTTGATACATAAGCTTAGAGTAAATTCATCCGGTAAATTTAGAAACATTTTTCTTGAGTTTGTTCTGGAGAATGCTATCCCGTAATGCTATTTTATTCTTTACAGATTTACATGGTATAATGAGTAGGGATGTGCCGATCAGGTTTTTTCCTCCCGATACCGATACCGATCACCCATGAGGGCAGATACACCGATACCGATCACCGAT